CCCCCCTCCGTATTTATTAACAACATTTCAGAATTCTCCCGGATTTAATTTGTTTTTTATCCTACCCAAAGGTAATCCGGTGTCTTTATTCAGTTGTATCTTCTTTGGTGTTCGTGTTGCAGGGCACATTTTAACTACTGTCCACAGAATGACATCTTGTGCCCTTTCCACTAAGACTTTGAAAGTCTAGATGGGAAGTGTTTTGTCTGATATTAGTAACCAGGAGTGTCTACATTTAAATTATTTATAGATTAACATGGAGGCAGGAGACTGGAGAGCAGTATCTAATAGAGGAACCTTCACATGTTTTAAGAACCCAGGCTTGGGTTCAAATCTCACCTCCACCTCTTACTTTGCTGTGTGACCTTGGTCAAGTTGCTTAACCTCTCTCGGCCTTAGTTTCATTTGTAAGATGGAGCTAATGTCAGAGCATTTTGAGGATGAATGAGACCATCTAAATCATGGTAGTACAGTTTAAACCCATAGTAAACACTTTGTAAATGTTAGTTACTGTTATAAAATAGAGGGCCATTAACCATTGCACCAAATTTATGAACTTTTTAAGGCTTTTATTAATGAATTTTTTTTTTTTTTTTTTTTTTTTTTTTGGTACCGGGGATTGAACTCGGGTGCTTGCGTTTGCAAGGCAGGCCACCGAACCACTTGAGCTAAATCCCTGGCCCATTAATGAATCTTAATAAGAGATTCTTCTCAACCCATTTTTGATGGCTTTTCCTTTTTTTCTTGAGATTCATTTATGCTGCATTTATCAAAGCTGATATACAATCTTTTTTCTTTTGCATTGTTTCTGCCAGTGTAATAAATGTAAAGTATTAAATCTAAGAATACTTCTCACCTGTCTATTTTTATCTGTATTGCCGTCATTACTTTAAAGCATACTGAATCCCACAAATAACCCTGTCAAACTTTTCCAGATTTTTAAGGAGGCAGAATGTTAAACAATTACTTGGAAGCTGTGAGCCAAACTGGAAGAGGGAATGGTGTTGTCGTGGTAGTCCAAAATGCTGCTTTGTGTCTTTGGAACTTTAAATTGCTTATTCATCCAAAATTTAGAAAAACCAAATAGCAAGCAGAATTGTACATTGCAGGTAAGAGGAGTCCTTAGCAGTAAGACATCACATTTTAAAATATCCTCTGAACTGATGTGTTAGCAGTCTGCATAATAGGTAGCTATTGAATAGATCCTTGGTTTATCTTTAAAATTCCTCCTTATCCAGTTAATATCTTAATTTATGCATTGGCTCCTGGAGACATGACTTTGATGGTGATACTTTTGTTTTAATGCATGGAAACACATGATCACTGATAGTCCTGTTACCAAGTATTTTTCTATTTCCTAATAAATTATAAATCATACTGTACTTCTTACAAGCAATTGGAGGCACTAGCTAACAAAGTAGGGGGAAAAGATCGGTGATACCCACAGCCTGGGTCATCTTTTGCCTTAGGTTTGACATGAGCTCCTCTCATCCTCCTCAAACCTCTGACTATAATAATGAGAGAGACCCTTGTCCATCATGGATTTGATGGCCTTTGCCCTTTGCCGCTTTCCCATTTGCACATAGGATAAGCATAAGTTCTCCTGGCCCCCTTTCTGTGCAGCAGACTTGCCAGAGATTAAAAGGCAGATCCTGGTTTGCCAGGTCTGGGATGGGACTTGAGACTGCATTTTTGCCAGGTGGCAGCATGACTCTGGTTCAGACTTCTCTGAGGAGAGAGACTCCTGATTATGGGTTGGTTATAAGGACTCATAGCTTGCTCTTGTAGCGTGGAAACAGCAGCCCAAGGCCCAACACCGTAAGCCTTCAGTTTACCAGAGCCGGCCCAATAAGGCCTTCCTGCGTAGTGTGCCACACCGCTGCCCATTTGTCCCTGTTTTGTATGAGCCATAGGGTGTAACCCTTTCTGCACCTCGCTAATCTTATTAGAGATTCAAGATGCACCCCAAACCTCACCTTCTGTCTGAGGCATCCCCTAGATAAACACTTACCTTCTACACTTTTTCAGCTCAGCTACTCTTCCAGTGCCCATTAGGGCTGCGTGGAGTAGGTGCTCTGCAGGATTTCAGGGATCTGGGTGATTACCAACATATTTGTAGCTGCTCTGTGTTGGAGGATTCAGTACCTCAGTAAATGAAACATGATGAGAACAGTACCTCACCCAAAATGATCAGTTTATGTTTGCTTTTAAAATTTTTTATTGGGATACCAGTCACATCTTTCCTGATTGTGCCTATTGTTAATTGTCTTGCGCTTACTTATTGGCCAGGACCAAGCACAGGTAATTTTGCAAGCACCTGATCATAGACCATGAGTGTCTTTGAAGTAGATCTTCAGCCTGCAGCCTCACTCTGATTAATAAGCCTCGTGGCACCGTTGGCAGATTCCGCAGCCTCCTTAGGAGACTGTGTCCACCCCCATCTCCTACCTGTCATTGCCAGCAGTGGAAGACCTGCACTGGTTCAGGTTCACAATAACTTGTTGTGTGATCTGGCCAGCTTTTCCCCCTCCCTCCCTACCCGTACTGACTGCCCCAACCACTCTTCCTCCCCGTTCTCCACCTGCAGTGTGTTTTCCAAAGTCCCACATGTTCCTGTGCTGTAGCAGCCTGGCCCAGCAAGTCCACAGGGATCAGAATTAGGGAAGGTGGGGGCCACCTCGTGCAGGAGAGAAAGCATTTATTTTCAGTTAAGAATCTTGGGTTTGCTGGGTGTGGTGGCACACGCCTGTGATTCCAGCACTTGGGAGGCTGAGGCAGGAGGACCGCTGTGAGTTCAAGACCAGCCTGGGCTACATAGTGAGTTCCAGGTCAGTCTCAACTACATAGTGAGACCCTATCTCAAAAAAAAACAAACAAAAAAGAATCTTGATTTAGCTCAGTGGTTCTGCTGCCTGCCTCGCAAGCACAAGGTCCTCAGTTTGATCCCTAGTACCCCACACCCCCCAAAAAAAGAACCTAGGGTTTTAGGCCCAGTTGTGCAATGAAGTGGCTGCATTTCCTTGGGCATTCTGTGGAGTCTCTTGAGACTTTATTATTATCATCATTATGGGTTTTCCTGGTAAAAACAAGGACTGCTGTGTTGCTTTCTCTGGTAGCTTCAAGAGGACCCCAGAGCAACCAACAACCAGTCTGTGTAAGGATATCGTGTTTGTTTATAACTCATTCTTGCCTCAGGGGTGATGCCCTGAAGCAAACTAGTGAGGAAGGATTGCTTCTTGGTGAGGGTGAAACATCTGGGCCACTGCAGCAGTTCCTAGCCCTCCAAAGGGCCACGATATAGGACCCAGTATGGAGCAGGAGTTAGAATTTCCTGAAGTGGGGGTAATGGGAGAGGCGTGTGAAAAGGCTTGGGAAAGGGGGAAGGGACCAAGAGGATGAGGTGGACTCTTTAGCCTTGCCTGCTGGATGGTTGCCTTTCTAGGTGTGGAGCCCATGGTCAGGCTCAACAAGGTCATTGTCTCTGGTATGAGGGGCAGTGACCCCTGGTGGTAGAGACAGCAAAGTGACAGGCTTATCACATGTTACTGCTGATGATATTATCCAGACTCTCCCCTTCCCTGATGAGTTGTGTGTTCATCTGAGGCAAGGGATACATTGATTCTTGACAAGAGGAGTAGTTGTAGTTTTATGAATACCTGGAGTTAAAGTCTTCCTGCCCATCTGAGCCTGTCTTTAACCTGTTGCCAAACTTTGTAGAGGTTTAGTTGCACATTTTAAAATCAAAAGCCAGGCTATACCAACATTTGGTTATAGATTGTGCTGACGTTTGAATGTGGTCTGTCCCCCAAAAGTGCTTGCACTAGAAGCTTGGTCGCAGGGTGAGAGTATTGAGAGTGACAGTGTCATGGGGCCCCACCTTCAGTAAAGGTTAATGTTGGCCTCACAGGCATGGATTAGTCCAGAGCAAGATGTTTGTTTTTTTTAAAAAAAGAGTGAGTCTGTCCCTTCTCTCCTCACTTATTTCCTGTCTTACTGTGAAACCCTTTCCACCCTTTGGAGACCCTGTCAGGCATGCGCATTGTATTAGATTCTCCAGCCCAGAACCATGAGCGATCGACCAGGTTAAACTTTAGAGAAAAATGCATAGGCAGATTTGGCCTCAGCTCCTAGATTTGGGGGTATCTTAAAGCAGGACTTGTCACCGGGCTTCACAGGTGCCTAAACCACCTTGAAAGCCATCGGCTGTGTGGCCTTCCCTGTCGAAGACTTGCCTGAACTCTACCACTACCCAGCTCTAGCTCTCCAGCCCACAGCCCAGAGTCCCCAGCCTGAGGCTCAACCACTGCAACTTGAAGTTTCACCTGTGGATTGTAAGGAGGGAAAGCTGCTTGATTGTACAGAGGAGCTTGCTAGAAACATTAGAAGGATTTTTATCCTTTCTTTCCATGATTATACTAATAGCTGGCATATGTTGTGGCACTGTTTGAGGTCCTGTAGGCTAATCCAATCCTCAGGACATGCCTAAGGGGCAGTAAGATCAGTGGGGAAATCTCTCCTCCCAGGTGACAAACCTACAAGGTCGAAGCCAGGTTCCAGATGCACGTGTTCCATCTCAGAGCCCTGAATCAGTGGCATGACCTGGATGAAGTGATCTTCCCTTTGGATCTCCCTCTTTCCAGTTTTTACTCCTTTTCTCTCACTGTACTCATGGTCACCAAGGTTGCCCGGGGCCTCCCTGTCCCAAATCCAGTGGACACCTGAAGTCTTGGTCCACAGAGGATACCCTCCACGCCCTTTCTAGGGACACCTTTGATTTCTGTGACACGACACAGCTCTCCTGGTGCCCTCCTCCTGTGAGTCTGGCTGCTTGTTTCCTCAAAGGTCATGCTCTTCTTTTTTAATTTTTTTTCTCTGACACCTAATGCAAAGTAGCCTGCATTTCCCACAGTTGCCCTCCCATCTTGGGCCTTAGGTACTGGACTTTCTCATGACTCAGTTTGAACTCTGCTGCCTTCTTGTTCTGTCCTTGCCCTCCACAGTTGCGTCTGTGGCTCTGATGACCACGATGCACAGTCCCAGTACAGACCTCTCCAGCACCCACTTTCCCTGCTGCAGTTGGAGACATTGTCTGTTGTCATCTGTGTGGTCCTATCACACTCGGGCCTCACACCTTCAGAGATCCCTGTTGCCTTTGGTTTTGTTTGTTTGTTTTTGGTTGTTTTGTTGTTGTTGTTTTTTTGCAGTACTGAGGACTGAACTCAGGACCTTGCACTTGGGAGGCAGGTGCAGCACCCCTGAGCTAAATCCCCCCCTCAGTTGCCTCTGTGTTGAAGTCACGTTTCTTAGCATGTTGTCTGGTGTCCTCTTTCTTTCTCTTCCTTCTTTTACCTCTGTTTCCCTCTAGCTCTCCTGGCTGTCTTCAAGGTCCCCCAGGCTGCCTGCCAGGCTGTCTGGGCATCAGAGAGACCTGTACCCTCTCCTTTTGGCCACCTGCTCATTTCCAAGTCCTCGGCTCACTGTGGTTTCTCAGGGAAGCTGTCTTGGCCCCAGGTAGGACCTCGTGTGGCACAATTCCAGGGCCCCTCACAATCTCTGGGTGCCATGAAGGCAAAAGGGGTTGATTAGTAGTTCTTTACCACTACATCCTGTGCTGTCTGAAGATGGAAATGGAAAAGTTAGTGTCTGCCAGGTCCTGAAGATATTGTGATAAATAGGGCTCATTTTCTCTTGGTATTTGTTACAAAATGAGCATATGTGTTTTGGAGCTTTAACTTTTATGCTGGCTAATAGGCTTGGTGTATTTCATGTGGTTAGTGTTGCTCTGATTGAAAAAAAAATTAGCATTCATTTTGAAGGCCTAGTGAGATTGAGAGGAACTCCCCTGGCCTTGCGGTCAGCTGGTTAACGGGCCAAAGAGCAGGGACAAGTAGAGAAATGGAGGCAGTGACAGGGTCTCTCAAAGGTACAAAACAATGCCACCCAACTGAATTAGAACATGGCATGCCTAGTAGTTGGGTAGCTCTGAGCTGGCACACACAGGCAGAGCAGGCTACTTACTTACACAGGCTGTCGTTGGAGGGAAAGTCCATGGTCTTTCTTCTGTAGCACTGTTGGTATGGGCAAAGGACTGTGTCTTATCCCTGGTAATAAGGGGAGTCATTAAGGGGAAGGGAACTAATTTGGCAACCTTTTGGCTAAATTATAGTCATTTTTTAATCTCTTTTAATAAGCTGCTTTCCTCTGTCCCACTAGTAGCTGTTTTCAGGGATCTGGATTTATGTGATGTCACTGAGTTCCTGCAGTTGTGCTAGTTGATTGATACCTTTTTAGGTTGTACTTGGCTCATTTGTAAATAATGAGGGTAAGCTGCTCGCAGCAAACTGCTAGCTCGATGGTGTGGTTCATTGCCTTTGAAATGGGAGGTTTAATCAGCCCCTCAGGACCTCCTTAGGGTACACATATGCACCTAGTGTGTGTGTTAGTGCCCTCTGCCTGGCTCTAGCTTTTCACTGATTTCCCCAGCTTTGAAGCCTGGGCACATGGTAGGCCAGCCCCCTTTTCAAATGTGTGTGCAATTAGTGCCATAGTAATTAACAAGATGAGTCAGGCTCAGAGTGGGGCCCATTTCTTCTGTCTTCCAGCTCCAGGACTTTAGGCAAATTGTTTCAAGCTTTAGATTCATGTGTAATTTGGAATTAATGATAGTACCTAACTTCTAGGCCTCTGTGAGGATGAAGCAATGCAAAATAACATTTTGCCAAAGAGCCCCAGTACAGTGTCCAGTCTCCACATATAACTGTAATAACAGTCCCGGAAAGGAGAAAAAAGGAAAACTAAGCAGAAATTTAAGTTGAGGACCCATTAGTGTGCATCCTCTGGCAATGGGCATCTCTATGTCTGCTGTGTGTGCGTGCACGTGTGCTGTCCGCTTGGTATTGTTTATGATTAGTTCTTGGTGCTAACTCCATTTACAACGTCAGGCTCAAGGTCACCGGACGTTGTGAAAGATACATTTGGTCTGGCCTCCTATTTCCTGGCATACAACCCTAAAATCCTTGGCTTCTTCAAAGTGATACATGTCTTTCTGTGTATTAAAAGGTGACCACTGGCCAGCTGCTTCGGGGTGGCTTCAGGATGGGGCTATCATCAGAAAGACCATGGTGGGATTAGAGGGTCGGGACTTCAGACCCACCCCAATTTCTGGGGAGGAGAAAGTGTCTGAAGATTGAGCTGATCACCAGAGGCCCCTAATTTACTCCACTATGTAGACATAATGTGGTTTCCATAAAAACCCCAAAAGTTTGGGCTCCCGAGAGCTTCCAGTCAGCAGAACACACACGGTTCCTTCAGGGCGGCAGTGGAGGGGTCCTGCAACCCCACACCCCTCCCACACTCCCAGCCTATGCAGAGCTTCATCTGTACTCCTCCCATCAACCTTCAGCCTAAACGTTTCCCTGAGTTCTGGTAGCCACCTGCGCCCACTGGCTGATCCAGTAGTGGTCTGGGCAGCCCCCTCCTGTCCCGGAATCCCCTTGCACAGTCCCTGCAGGAGCACCCCAGCCTGGTGCAGGGACCCCTGGCTGTGAGCTGCCAAAGGCATCTGCCATTAGGACCCTACTGTAGTGAAGCAGGAAATCTTCACAGTGCTTGCAGCTGTTGGAAGAGCATGGGTGCGCTATTTCAGAGATGTCTGGAGACCCACAACCAGAAGATCCATTGCTGAACCCCAGAGATGTGCACACATTTGTGGACAAATGTAAGATATGGCAAACTGAAATATTTCAGTTATCAGAATTGCCTTTTGTCAGAATGTCAAATGGAGGGCTTCTGGAGGCTTGAATGAAGTACCTGTCTTGAAATCAGTATCTGTCTTGGGTTTTTGAAAGGGGGGAAGGGTTTGTAGTTCAGGCTGGTCTCAAACAACTGGCTGTTTTCCTACCTCAACCTCCCAGATTCTGAGATTACACGTGTGCGCCATGGTGCCCAAATCTATCCAAGAAAAACTAAACTGGATGTTGTGCTGCACACTTAATCCCAGCTGTTTGGGAGGTGAGGTGGGAGGATCATAAATTCAAGGCAGCTTGAACAACTTAGTTAGACCAAGTCTCAAAGTTTTTTAAAAGACTGAAGTAGCTCAGTGGTAAGAACGGTTCAATCTGTAGCAATGCAAAAGCAAAGAAAATGAAAAAAAGAAAAACTGAGAGTCAGAAATAAGAGAGGTTTCTTAACTATCAACAGAGATTTTAAAAAGTAGTATTACAAGAAACAAAACTGAATATATCAAAGGTTTTAAAGCTTTTCAATTTTACTGGTGTGTGTTTTCCTGTTTTATTACTCCCTTCAATCACCACAGATAAAATTTAAAAGTAACTAGTTGAATTGTACCCTGTAGATAGGTGCACTAGGTAGATGGAAAACTTTTTAAAAGTAACAAAAAGGTTTTATTCCTCTTCTTTTCCTACCTAAGAGACAGGATACCCAGCCTGTTTGTGGGTGAATTCCACAAAACCTTCAGCGAATCATTTGTTCCTTGATTGTCTAAGTTATTTTAGGGCCCAGTAAAAGATGTGCATTCCACGAGAATAGCATGATCCTTAAATCAAAGCCAGCAGGATGCCTGGCATGGTGGGGCACACCTGTAATCCCAGCACTCAGGAGGCTGAGGCAGGAGGATTGGTGTGAGTTCAAGGCCAGCCTGAACTATAGCATGACCCTGTCTCAAAACAAGGCAAAACAACCTAGTGGGAAATAGCACACAGAAGAAAACAAATGATCAATCTTATCCTATGGGCAAAACTCCTAAATACATAGTAGTAGATGGAGCCCAGGGTGTTTTGACCAATCCCTGCTTATCTGGGAAGTAAAAGAATCCCACTGGACACGCCTGTAATCCCAGCACTCTGGAGGCTGAGGCAGGAGGATTGCTGTAAGTTTGAGGCCAGTTTCAGCTACATAGTTTGAACAAGGCCCGGCTGAAGTACATAGCAAGACCCTGTCCCCATTAAAAAAAAAAAAAAAAAAAAGAAATCCTTCCGTATATCAAGAAATCCTCTGAGAACGACTCTGAAAAGTCAGTAGCAACAGGGCAGAAGAGAAACCAACCATCTTGGTGATCTTGATCAAAATAGCAGCTTTTTGAAGCTCCCTAATAAAGTAGAGGTGGAAAGAAACACCTCCCAATTCCCGGGGCGTGGCTGATGTGGGCTAGCAGGCACAGTAGGGCACCCCAGAATCCCGACAGTCCTAGGACTGCTGTAGTACCGGGAATACAGCGCCTCTGAGCTGCCCTTGACTCTCAGAGTTACTTCAGCTGAGTGACTGGGTTCTGTTTCACAAGGAGGAAACATTGGCAGTCATAGATGCTTTAGGTAGTACTTAGAATTGAGGGGGGGAAAGCCATTTTAAAACACTGATGTGGCCTCAGAATTTCCGGGTCACAGCACTGTGTGACATTCCTTCGGCATTTAGGGCAACTTCTCATGGAGCCAAGTATTTGCTTGCTGTTGATTATACTTTTCCTTCTTCCCTTGTTAGGAAAAGTTATTACTCTTTTACTCTCCTCTCCCCTTATTTAAATCAGCATCCTCATTCTCTACTGTATACATTTATCCCTCTGTACACACACACACACACACACACACACACACACACACACACACACACACAACACACACACACACACAAACACACTGTTAGGCTGGTACTGGATCATATTGTGTCTTACCCTGCCCTAGAATGTCAGAAGAAGGATCCATGCCACTTATCGGCAGTGTACTATGGTTCTGAGAAAGCTACTTACTGCCCCCACCCGCTGCATGTTTCCTGGTCTGTAAGTAGGGGATGTGAATTATACCCAGCTTGTGGAGTTCTTTTGAGTATGAAGCAGTTTTCTTTTTTGGTGTTTATTTGGTTGGTTTTGGGTTTTTTGTTTGTTTGTTTGTTTTTGTTTTTGTTTTTTTGTTTTTGTGACAGGGTCTCACTATGTAGTTCAGCCTCTCCTTGAACTCACAGCAATTCTCCTTTCTCAGCCTCGTGGGATTAAAGGCATGTGCCACCACACCCGGCAATATGAACAGTTAATAGTGCTGAGTGGTTTCCCTCATTGTGGTGTATGAACTACTCTTTTCTTTTAGTACTCGTTTGTAGTACTCACTGGCTACATTGCTGGCTACATTTATCTTGGGGAGTAAGTACATGTGCATAGCACATCTTAATTATTTTTTTGTCCCCTGTCCCTCCTTGCTCCTTCCATGTCTTGGTCGCCTTCCCATCCGCAAAAGCTCTATTTCCCTTTTTCTTTCAATTATTTTTTTATCCCTTTTCCCTCCCCTCCCTCCATCTCTGGTTTCCTTTCCCATTTGAAAAAGATCTTCCTACTTCCTATTATTTTTTGTCTTGTTCTTTATGTTTATATGTCCATCAACAGGTGAATGAATAAAGAAAATGTATTTATACACAAAGGAGTACTACTACTATACTATAAAGGATAAACTTGAGGCATTCATAAGTACATGGGTGCACCTTGAGACCATAATGTTAAGTGAAATAAA